AAAACAAGCAGTTTGGCGTCAAATTTTAGCCGTACTGTGCACTTGGTGTAAGTACGGCACTGCGGGACCCACCCCAGCGCCTCGTCGAGATTTCAAATTTGTGTGCACTAACACAAATCGCACCGAGGTGACGCAAATGACGTTTATCATACATGTACACATGAAGGCTACTGCATGACGAAGGCGCAGAAGCGATAGTTAAAGGCACCGTCCATCCAGATTCTCGACTTCCATGTTTTGGTCGTTCTGGGGCCCCTTATTTCGAGAATTCCCCGAAAACCCAACAATCCCCGTTTCCGAGAACTCGCAGGCCGGTTCTCCGGAACGGTAATTGGATGTGCGCGCGCTTGGGCGGGCATCACTGAAGGAGCCCACTTGGGGTCCTCATGCTTCTTCGCTATTCCGAAGCGATTTTATCACTTACTCAGATAATCGCCGGGGGCACTCAGATAATCGCCGGGGGCAGGCGGTCCGCAAACTCGCGCTTTTCTGCAAGCGGTCAGCAGAATTTTGGGGCGTGGCCAAACCTTCAGCGAGCGGTACTTCCTTTACTGTCTAATGTTCTGCCAGCGGGCAGCAACACAGAATTTTCTGCAGGCGCTCGTCAAATAATCTGTTTCAGCGATCAAATTTTCAGCTGGCGCTTGGACGGTTTTTAAGCAGTTTCGGGCGTACGCCGAGCAAAGGTGAGACTCTACATGGCAGAGGTGTCATCGATGGTTGAATTACTCAAGTTTGAGGTACTTTCTCTCAGCGGAAAGTACCTGGGGGCTGCGCGGTCCTCGAAAATTTTGCATATTCTCGCGGAAAGTCCGCGAGAATGCGGCCAATGCGCCGCATCTAATCTATAAGAAAACCGCGATTGTTCTCCGAGCATTAATCTAAAATTTCGCTAAATTTCAGAATATCTGCAAGCGGACCGCAAGAAATCAGCGAACTATTTTTCCGGTGCCCGCCCGCCCATAAATCGCATGGCCGCCTGCCCCCGGCGATTATCTGAGGTGCACTAAATTCCAACCCAGTTCAGGCGGAAATTGGATTGGGGGGCGTCCGCATCGCAACGGCGCCATTTCGCAGCCACAATACATGGTATCGTACTAGGAATCCATGTCTGCGTCTCTTCATTCTCTTCAGTCTTTGCTTGGCAAAATGCCGGCGCTGTGCGCTCGCAAAGGCTGTTCGTACTAATCCATAAGTTCCAGACATTTCCAGCACAGCGCTCACTGTGCGCTGTGCTGGAACTATTCCTGAACTTAGGATCAGTATGAACCCAGTCAAAGTCTCCTCGATGCGGACGCGCTGCTCCACATCAGATGTCCCGCCTATTCCGAAACGAAACAGAGTGTGTCTTCACTGTTGTAAATTCTGCGCCTCACGCGCTCTGTGGCTAAAAACCCGCGTTCGCGTCCTAAGGTAGTACTGCGCCTTCGTCGTGCAGCTTCCTATACACATGCACATATAGGCTGCTGCATGACGAGACGCAATACCTTCGGGCGCGAACGCGGCTTTATTAGCCGCAGAGCGCATGAGGTGCGGGATCTACAACGGTGAGGATACGCGCGCGTCGCGTTCGCGCGCGCTCACCCAATATCGCCATTGCGCCTTCGTCATGCAGCAGCCTTTACACACATACACATATACTGCATAGAAGACATAGACAAATAGTGTGGACCCCGGCCAGGTTCCCATAGGTACTTCCGCCGCGCGCACGCAGCGCGCGCCCTTCTTAATGCTTCTGGCCTCACTCATGAGCAGTAGAGCACATTTATGCTCACAAAGGAGAAAAATGTAAAGTGGAAACCCCTAAGTTCACTTCGAAAGAGAGGTATGCAAGAACGAAACGCATTCAGCCTTCATGAGTATCTCAAATACAATCAATGGATGCATATTCCGAACTTACACTGACGGATAGGTTGTAATAGGATACGTAAAGAAATTAAAGGACAACAGCATACTTAAAACATTTCTCTTCGTTGACGTAGAAACTAGAGTAGTCAAAAATTTCAAAAAAGTGGACATTTCAGTAAACAAATGCCTATTGGCCTCTCGGTAGGCTCAATTTTGACTTGTCTACACCTTACACATCAAACCGAAAGGGCCCTTATTCTATACAAGAAGCTTTTGAAGGAATATTATCTTAATATCCAATCAAATCTCAATTTTTCAGAGAAAAAAGGGAAACACAAGACTACTACACAAGACTGAAGCTCTTAGAACTACCCTATTTTCAGGTGTATAAGCCGCACCCTTTTCGCTCTACACGCGAACACGCCAAAAGACTGACTGTCACCATGGAGCGCGTTAAGTGAGAGCAGTGTGCGATAAGGCGACCTCTTCGCGAGACATATGCGCGGCGGCACGCCTGGATCTGCTCGCGTTTAGAGCAAAAAGGGTGCGGCTTATACACCTGAAAATAGAGTACTAGAGCACGTGAAATCTTGCCACCGGTCATCGCGAATTGTTTATACCTGAAATAGCGAGAATATAGTACACCAAAAACAAAAAAAAAGAGAGAAAGGAAGATTTCCACTAGAAGCTAGGACAGGAGACGCACTGAAGGCGTGCGTTGCGGGTGCGTCGCGCAGGTACCTATGGGAAGCTGGCCGGGGTCCACACTATACACATGTATCCTCAATATCAACTCATATGTCTTTCCTCAACATGACGTGGAATATGAGGTTGGTAAGCCGCCGCCTCGCTCCGGGCTTGCACCACGTTGCGGGCGCATCGTTTGACGCGAAGTGGCGCTTAATCAACGTGGCGCGGGCTTTCCCACGTTGTTCTTCTTGTCACACCACATCAAAAGTGCGCACGCAACGTGGCGCAAGCCTGAAGCGAGGCGGCGCCTCACCAACCCACGTAATCCACGTCATGTTGAGGGAAGACATATGGTTTGATATCGAGAGTATGTCTCCACGATTCGTGTAGAGGCGGAGTCGTGGCAGCTCAAAGCGTGGCGGTTTTTGACAGCGGGAAAGTACGAAAAACAATACTATAACGTGGAGGTTTGACAACTTTGTCCTGATGATCAGGGAAAGTCCGCAACCCGCGTTTACATGAATCCTGGAGTCGATCATACATATACACATTCTCACATACTCATACGCCTATAGGCTGCTGCATGACGAACATCGATCGATCTTTGGGCGCGAACGGGTTTCATTAGCCGCAGAGCGCATGAGGCGCAAAGTTTACAACAGTGAAGATAGGCTCGCGCGGCTTTGGCGCTCGCTTAAATACTGCCTGCGCCTTCCATGCAACAGCCTTTACATATGCATATACACAGACGAGTACACAACGGCGATGCCTAGTTGATACAGTGCTGGCCAAAATTATAGGTCCACTCTAAAAAATGCCATAACTCACTCTGTTTTGAATGAAATTTTCCAAAGTTTGGTAGATACGTGTGTTTACCAGCCTACTATCAGTCTTCAAAACGGTTCTCGTTTTCGTTTGATTATTCAAGAAAAAATTAGAAATTTTGAAGAAAGCAGGCTTGAAGGCTGGCCAAAATTATAGGTCCACCTGGAGTTTTTACTGATTAAAGCACTTCTTAGCTCCCGAATTTTTTTAGGTAGGCACACATCCAAAAACGTTAAACAGCTGCATTGGTCAAGCTGTGTCATATCTCCAAAAAGAACTGATTATCTGCTTTTTTGCCTTGAAGATGCACTCACATGTATTTCGCTCCACAAACCTTCGTTGAGTAAGAAATTCTGCAGTTTCTCAGCTGGATCGGAAGGGACGGGGTTTCATCTATCTTCTGGATGTTTTTTGACATGAGCATTGAAGAAAAAATCCGACTTTTTGCTACTGAAGCAAATCTGACATTGACAGTACTGCAATCCTGAGCTCAAATTTCTGCCTTCAAACTTCTTTTACAATGTTCTTAGAAGCATTGAGTAAAGTAAAGGCATTGTTTCTATGAAGGGGAGTCCGTATACCATAGTTACAACTTTCTAGAGATCCTAGCATTCGAGTATAATCACTGAAATCACTCTGCAGAAACTGATTACGACAAGCACCAAAGCTACTTGTGGCTCCGACCAAAATTTCCAGAAGAATTATGTGCTAACATACTCTACAAGCTGTATCCACTATCTAGTAAATAGTTACTGTCAAAAATCCAAGTGAGGTAGCACTTGGAAAGCTATTTTGGATTGCGTAACACCATTATTACGTTGCACACACAACTCATGTTTCAAAAAGGAAGCAAGGCAGCTTTGTGGACACTTGCGAGTATAGCGAACAGCTTTATTCTTGTGTAAAAAATGCTTCTACAATATCTTGAGGTTATAATGACAATGCATAAAGGGTTTTAGGGCAGAAACTGAGGCTTACTCTGCCGATTAAGCCGATGTCAGATTTGCTTCAGTAGCAAAAAGTCGGATTTTTTCTTCAATGCTCATGTCAAAAAACATCCAGAAGATAGATGAAACCCCGTCCCTTCCGATCCAGCTGAGAAACTGCAGAATTTCTTACTCAACGAAGGTTTGTGGAGCGAAATACATGTGAGTGCATCTTCAAGGCAAAAAAGCAGATAATCAGTTCTTTTTGGAGGTATGAAACAGCTTGACCAATGCAGCTGTTTAACGTTTTTGGATGTGTGCCTACCTGAACAAATTCGGGAGCTAAGAAGTGCTTTAATCAGTAAAAACTCCAGGTGGACCTATAATTTTGGCCACCCTTCAAGCCTGCTTTTTTCAAAATTTCTAATTTTTTCTTGAATAATCAAACGAAAACGAGAACTGTTTTGAAGACTGATAGTAGGCTGGCAAACACACGTCTCTGCCAAATTTTGGAAAATTTCATTCACAACAGAGTGAGTTATGGCACTTTTTAGAGTGGACCTATAATTTTGGCCAGCACTGTATACGTGATAATTTTCGCGATTTGTGTATAAACTCTAGACGGAATTTGTGGGAAGAATCCAGGAATGTTGAACTGTTGGAAAACTAGTTATGTGATATTAAAGTTTTTCAATTAATTTTTCTTTTTAGTGTATTGACATCTCGATGATTCTTGCTGAAGCTATCCGTCGTACGCACAATGGGGAATCAGTTTCATATCTTTTCTCGCATGTACCAATTTGTTAGAAATCGATATTCTTTTTAGATCAGATGTCATCTAATACTATCAATTACTTTCCATCTATCGCTTCGCAGCAAAAAAAAATTTATGTAGCTAGAACTTCTCTCATATTCCTTGATAATCCTTATGCGGCATTTAGCCATCATGCGTATATCTTTTATAATACAGAAATCTCGGCCCTTGGAGAATATGTCGGTTTTTATGTCGACTTTATCGTGCCATGTCTTTTTCTCAAAATTTGACTGCTATGTGGGTTATTCAATTTGTAGACTCACGTGCTAGAATGTCTACAGCGTTAGTTTTCATACGAGTATTTTCGTGTTCAACTTTTTGCTAGAATGCTGTGGTTACGTAATCAATGACAATTTCAAAAATGTGTGTAAAGTGTTGTGTTAATGTTGGATAATGAGGCAATGAATAGTTTTAATCTTTACTCCATGCAGTTCTAGATTCAGTTCTCAACTGCTCGTCCTTATATCAGCAAGAAACCGAATTTTCCTCCGACTGTGAAGTTGTGCGGCACCAATCTATTCTGTCCCAATCTGGATCAGGCTGAGACTGCCATGATGCGCTTCCGTGTTGATGGTTTTGCATCACATCTGCGCGCCGCTTATGTGGTTATGATAGAGCTGTCTGTTTTCTCCTCATTCGATCACTCCGCGAATACTTTGCGGTGATGCAAAACCCTTCCGCTGCAAGAGCACAATTCAAGTCTACGGATCGGACTGATCCCGATAAGGAGGACGGGCTATATGAGTATCGTACGCTCAGCAATTGTGTACCCTAGCCCTGCATATCTATAGCATGGGTCGAGAAGCGGAAGATGATAGAATTTAGCCATTACAGGTCCCAAAAGTTGAACGCGGCATGCGCGGCAGAGCGGCCGACGCGCGCGGCAAACCTCCTGACGTGCAGCCCATGATTGAAAACCAATTGACCTCCCACCTGCACCATCAACATTTGGGTTGTTTCATACTGCCGCACTGACTGCAGCTGACTGCAGCTGACTGCAGCTGACTGCACTGAGCGCAGCAGACTGCAGCTGACCGCACTGACCGCAACGGCCACACAATCGCTGCATCTTTTCGTAAAAGTGAAAATAGTTGCGAATACTTCAAAACACCGTGACTTATGCCTAGAAAGTTCAAAGGTTTTAACTTATCCTTCTCAATCAAATTTTGGCGATTGTTTCTCAATATGCTCATATTTGTTCAGATTCCTTTTGTCATTGCATCTACCTATTTTACTCTAGCTCGTGTTGTCTACTGGGGCATATTTTGTTTAGAGACTGTTTGAGCTACAACTATTTATCCTCTCCATGTCCACGAAAGGAAGTAGCGTTCTGTACGGCCTTGCGGTCAAAGCGCTTAGCTGCAGTCTGCTGCAGTCTGCTGCAGTCAGCTGCGGTCAGTGCGATCAGCTGCAGTCTGCTGTACTCTGCTACGGTCAGTGCGGCAGTCTGAAACAACCCTTTCTATGCTGCATCATTACTCGTATTCGACTTTACTGCAGGGAGAAGAATATCTGTAGATGCAGGGGTCATAACTTCTTCCGCGGAACCGCCTCGCAGATTTGGAAAGCAGCTTGTCTGCCCTCCCTTCAATTTCTTCTTTCAATAGTGCGCATTTGCAGCGCAACCTTCCCCCCCCCCCCCCACCCTCCCTCCCAACAGCGAGTGCGCACGCAAATTGCGTCAGCGGTTCGGTTTGTTCTCGACTGGAACAGACCTGATGGGCTGTATCTCACGAGATCGGTCCTTGCGAGGGCTGATGCATGCGATGTGCTTTAACGAATAGGATTGTTTGCACAAGTCAGACTGCATCGTCGCTATTCGCGGCAGGCACGCCGTTGCATAACCGATGGCATTTGATGTCTATATCTTGCATCGCACTCAAAGACAGAACGCCAGCGTTGACACCTGCGTCTCTGCAAACAAACAGAATTCATCCCTTTCCGTCAAAAATGTTCAAAGTTGAGCAAGATCAGGCACGATTCTCTCGAACACGACTCCCCCCCTCCTCTCTGAAAGTTCCAAAAACCTCTTCGTCTTACCTCCAGAACCTCAGCGTGTGAAATTTGGAGGACCAGCCTTTATTGGTGGTTTTTCTGGAAGTCTGTACGTCCGACTTTTTGCGAGAACTTTAGGGCACTCGCAATTTGACGCGCATTTTGAGCATGGATGGCCCTATTTTCAAAGGGATAATTTCCCAAAATTAAGGAGTTTGGCTCGAAATCATCACTGTAGCGAGAACAGGTTATGTTGCTCAATACTTATAGCAGAAATGGTGCATTATATGAATTTTAGAAGCAAGTAAAGAGGGTCAGACAAAAGCTCAGGCAGCCAGGCCAGGGCCCGGCACAGATGATCTGGGGCGAAACTGGACTTTGTTTCTGAGGTTAGAAGCAATGGGGTTATTGTTTTCATAAGTTCCCGCGCGGAGAGCCGAAAAAACGACAAACATGTCAGGGTTTATAAGTTAAACGTTTTCTCTCGCAAGCGCGCGAATTTCAAACGCAAGATTCAAACAAATGGCTTGTTTACAGCGCACAGACAATCACATGACGCCTAATCTGGGCCATGTGTATACAGTATTACTCCAAACTCTTATGTAAAAAGTTTTGAATTGTGTTTTAATACCCGTTCCCGATTTTTTGGTTTCTAGACCAACACCAAACCAACGGTTAATTCGTATAGATATCCGAGAGTTCACATAGTTTTTAATTTGAGTTAGATGATTAGAATGCTCAATAAAATCTGTCATATAACGAAGGGAGCGGATCAAACCATTGTCTCTCTCAAAAGTTCTCCTTTCTTTAAACCTTGGCATAATTGATGAATATTACTCAGTTTTTTTCTTTGCCACGACAGGTTTTTATAGCGACAATTTATTTATCTTCCTAACGTTTCGGCAGATACATACGCCATCCTCAGAGGCCTGAAAGTGAGTCAGTCATCTTCACCAAACGCATTATGCCATCATACGCTTCGACCAACTCGTACGTTTGACTCGTTTGACTCCAATGCAACCGCAGTCCAGCGTCCAGGCTCGATCGAGTTATCAAGGCTCTTAGAAAAGAGCACGATAGAGATTTGTTAGATCGCCTACAGTGTACGGTAACAATAAACAGTCCAACTGGTTTGGACATGTTTAAGTAGCTATAGGCTATCGAAACCACAAAATGATGAGAACGGCTTCAGATCATTCGTCACAGACGACTGTTCATTCTTACTATTCATTCGGGTTACGAGCAAGAATGAATGCGGCTTCTAATACCTTTCGAGCAGAGATGTTATCCTCGATTGTTAGTATGCTGCAATCTATTTTAAAGTCTTAGCTGCCGTGATTTTCCCTTCTATGTTTCCCCAATGGGCTCACGAGGCCCTGTCTTTTGCTGGCCAGATGTTCATTTACACGTACAAAAAGCGGTCGACCGGTCTCGCCGATGAAATGACCCGGCATGTTCGACATTCCTATCGGTGAACTACACCACTTTCTGAGCAATCTCCTGGCCTTCCGTTTGTGCACACAACACAGTTTTGCGATGTGCAAGCTCTATAATCAATCGATTTCGAACCAGTTGTCTCTTGATGTTGTCTGTCTGGTGGTAAATTCACCAAAACAACATCATTGTCCAACTGTGCCTGCGTTATATATCGTTTGACTGCGTTGGTCACCCTGCCGGATATGGACGGCAAGCACAAAGAACACGTGTTCACCTTTGGTTGCTTGTGTTTATGTATGTTCGTTTGCATTGATTGCAGCGAGTATCCATTGTTGGAAGCTATGACGCGTGCCATCTGCAGAGACTCAAGTCTTTCGCTTTCTCCGCTGCACACGCTGCTGGCTATCTCAAACATGTCGCGGATAACTGCACGTTTTACGGCAGTTGGGTGAGCGGAAGTGGCATGTAAGATGATGTTCTTGCTGCTCTCTTTCCGATACCATTTGATGTGTACAGCGCTGTTTGCCATCATCACCTGTGTGCTAAGGTAGGGTAACCAGTCATCATGTGTTCTCTTTCTAGTTAAGCTAATGTACTGCGATTGTTCATTGAGGATCTTAAAGCACTCATCCATCTCGGACTGAGTCGAAGTCACAATAAAAAAATCGTCTATATAGCGGCAGTACATTAGGGGACGTCGCGTCAATACAGTCTTCTGTCTTGCTCATAAAGCAGATAGGAAGAACCGGTGCTAGTCTTTGCCTCATTGCCGGCCCTCTTACTTGTGCGTAAAACTTGCCCGTCCATTCAAAGATGTTAATAAGGCATGCTTCAAAAAGAATGATGATGCGCACTTTACTGAGTCCGTACGTTCCCATAGTCGCAATATGCATATCGAGGAGCTCAAGTGCTTGCAGGGTCATTGTTAGACACGTTTGTGTGTAATGACTCCACATCAAACGAGTCCATTACACAATTTTGATCGAAATGCGTATTGTGTAATTGTTCAAGAAAGCGATTGGTGTTCGGTAAATGGGCGGGTATCTTATTGTTAGTCAAGAGTTGGCTGACAATCTCGTTTAGAAAGCATGCAATTCTATCTGTTGGCCCTCCAACAAAACTGATGACTGGTCTAATCTTGCAAGTTGCGGCTGACACATTTTGTGGGTCGCTCGAGAGCTTGTGCGTTTTCACGAGGCCATAGAAAACAGGGCTCTAAGGTTTTCAATCTTGAGCCGACTGAGGAACTTTTCTTCTATACCGGCTTGCTTGCCAATCATCATCCAGATGTGGAGTCGCTCGCATTGAGAAAGAAATTCTTTCTCCGTCGTAGCACGGTAGACTGAATTATTGGATAAGTGATTTTCGATATTATCACGGTGCACTGTCTGAGACATGACGACGAAACGAAATTACCCCCTCGCTGACTGAAAGCCGGAGGGTGTCGTTCGCTGTCAGTTCACGTAGCTCCTTGAAACGCCTTTGTGCTTGAGTCAAATTAGAGTGTTGTGTGTTGTGTGCGCAAAGAAAGGCCAAGAGATTGCTCAGAAAGTGGTGTAGTTTACCAGTTGGAATGTCGAACATGAGGGGCCATTTACATTGGCGAGACCGGTCGACCGTTTTTTGTACGTGTAAATGAAAATGTAGAAATGTGTCCTGCTGACTAACATATAGCCAACTAAAACAAAAGAAACAAGGAAACAAGGAGAAATCACTGAAAATGGGCAGGGCCTAGTTTGCAGTTTGTCAGTTAGCGTGTACGCTGTGCACTACGCATATTAAGTTACAAATTACTCGATAATACATGCAGTGTCCTTCAGACTATGTGGCAAAAAGTGCATCGCCAGATTGTTGAGACTACAGATTTGCTTGGCTCAAGAGGTTTTTAACATTGTGAACACTGAAATGGGGCTGCACGTCAGGAGTTACGTCGCGCGCGGCGGCCGCTCTTCCGCACAAGCCGCGCTCAAATCTTGGGGCCTCCAAGACTCTCCGTCAATAGAGATCCCGGCGGCAAAAACAGGGGGTGAGGGTGGGGGCAAATACATGACTTAATGCTATAAGTAAGACTGCGCTAGAAGCGCTGCTGTTGTAAGGGCTGAAGTACGTTGCGATGTCGCTTGGCGAAAAATTCGCGCCCATCGTACTTCCTGACCGTCCCCCCTGAAATGGTACCATACTCAATGACGGAGCTTTTTCATTTAGAATGTTATGCTGGGTTTCCCTGCTACTTTCACGTCAAAAGGGACTTAGTAAATTTTCGCGAAGTCACTTTGGACTTTGTTTCTAAAAGTGATCCAAACCAACGCGTGCCGCGCCCTGAGCCGAGCCTTGGAGGTGCTGTGCCCGACCCCATTAACTCTCTCTCACAAGCAGCTTCTTTACCCAGGATTTATGTGATTCCTTAGCACAAACCTGGAAAATTCTACGATAGGTACTCGAGCTTATTTCGACTTGCTTTCGCTACGTGATGGTGGTAATACGTGGAGTTGAAGCTCAATAGTGAAAACGAGGTATAGCTATATCACGCAGTATCGGTCATGGGATCCCATGGGATGCTCATGCATGAACTGAGGAGGCGCGTGCGCGACGCAGGTGGCGAAAATAGTACGCGGGCGCGAAAGCGTCTGGAGATCAGTTCTGTGCTTGCTCGACTCTTCGCTATTCCAACTGTTTCTTGTTCGTACTGTCTTATATTTTCACCAGTGCGTCACCTCTGCTTCGCAGAGGCTCGCACTGGTCCTACTCTCTGCACACGCCTTACTCATTCCCGCACCATAATGACATTGAAACTCACCGCGCTATGCCGACTATCACGAACGATTTGTAAACAACTATTCATTCCAATACTTTTCCATATAAGATCGGTAACTCCGCTCAAATGAAACTTTTCCCAAAAGAACAAATGCAAATTTGAATTGGTTTTTGGACTTTTCATGGCTTGGATTTCGCCATAGGATACAATAATCACCATGGGCTACAACTCTGTGCAGAAATTTTCTTAAATGATTGGGTAAGATCTTGGCAAATCGAACATGTACGCAACCAATCCTTTTTGGCGCCGTGTTCGCAAAGTAATGAACTTTAGTTCAATTTTTTCGGCTAAAGTCCATGGCTTGCACATTAACTTGTCAAACATAAAAGCGACTTTGCAAAAAGTTGTGCTACAGGCTCAACTTTAGTGGCCAAAAGCCAAGTGGATCCGATTGACGCGCCTTTTTTGAGGGTTCCACACAACGGATTCGCCCATGCTTTTGTATAGTGGACTCCCATGTTGGTAGCATGCGCTGTGCAAATTTTGGGCTCAGGAGGTTGGCTGGAAGACGTTCTACGAATTTCGTGACAGACAGACAGACAGACTTACACACACACACACACACACACACACACACACACACACACACACACACACACACACACACACACACACACACACACACACACACACACACACACACACACACACACACACACACACACACACACACACACACACACACACACACACACACACACACACACACACACACACACACACACACACACACACACACACACACACACACACACACACACACACACACACACACACACACACACACACACACACACACACACACACACACACACACACACACACACACACACACACACACACACACACACACACACACACACACACACACACACACACACACACACACACACACACACACACACACACACACACACACACACACACACACACACACACACACACACACACACACACACACACACACACACACACACACACACACACACACACACACACACACACACACACACACACACACACACACACACACACACACACACACACACACACACACACACACACACACACACACACACACACACACACACACACACACACACACACACACACACACACACACACACACACACACACACACACACACACACACACACACACACACACACACACACACACACACACACACACACACACACACACACACACACACACACACACACACACACATCAATATTATCAATATTCTAGACACATCAGTGTCCTTGCAACTCCTCGATTTCCCCAGCGCCAACATATCCAATGTATCATAACTTATAATAACGGTCTAAGGGTTGTTTACGTTTGTGTGTGTGTGTCTGAATCTCTGTCTGTCGCGAAATTCGTAGAGCGAGTTCCAGCAAAGGTCTTGAGCTAGAATTTTGGTAGTAGCACCCTATCAGCACTTAGGTAAATTAGGCAGAAGCACAGTCCGATACAATGACTGGAACCTATAGAATTGTGCGCCAACGGACCCAAGCGACCTATTGTGCGCCAAAGTGGGCCTGTAATTGGACTTTTTCTAAAGTCATGGTTTCGTTTAGCAAGTAAATCCGCAAACTATGGATTCCTGCCCGAAAAATGAGCAAAAAGTTTACTTTGATGCAAGATCGTCGCCAAAATGAAATAATTGCGTAGATGATCGATTGTCAAAGTTTTTTTTGGGAATGTGAGAAGATTTTTGCTCGGAGATGTAACTCAGGGTTGTCATCATCTTTATGGCGACTATCAAGCCATTATAACCCCAGTAGCTGATTCAGAATCGCATTTAATCTTTTGAAGAATACTTTCTTTCCTTCAAGGTCACCAATCTTTCATGAAAAAGCTTTTAGAATGAGTAGCTGTTTACATTTCATTCGTGATGATCAGCATCGCTAGGTAAGTTTGAAAGCCATCATTTTGCGACTACGAGGAAGGCATGTGGATTAGAGCCAGTACGAGACTCTGCGAAGCAGAGGTGACGCACTGGTGACTTATATTACACCAGTGCTTCACCTTTGCTTCGCAGAGGCTCGCACTGTTTCTCCTATCTGTATGCCTCACGCATTCTCGCATAACATGACATGACATTGGAATTTACCGCGCAATGCCTGCCTTGAATAAATCATAAGCAACTATTCATTCCGAGAGCTTTTTCTTATGAGATCGGTATTTTGTGTGTATGAAACTTTGGAAGATGGAGAACAAATACAGATTTAGAACACTTTTGAATTGTTTCATGGCTTGGTAGTCGCCAAAAGATAATATCTATCGCGATCTACATCCCTATGCAAAAATTTCCTGAAATGATCATGGAAAACTGTGGCAAACCCGCCATTCACGCAACCAATTTGTTTTGGCGCCGTTTTCGTAGAGTGGTAGACTTTTTGTCACTTTTTTGGGCTAAGCTTTATGGCTTGCACATTAACTTGCCAAACATGACCACAACTCTGAAAAAAGTGGTGATACGGGCCCAATTGCGCCAGAAGTTGAGTGGATCCATTTGAGGTGCGATTTTTGAGGGACCTACTCAATGGATCTGCTTGTGCTTTGGCATGGTGAATCTGGATGGTGGCAGTGTGTGTTGTGCAAATGATACCTTGTTTGCGACTCGTTCTGTGAATTTCGTTACAGACACACAACACAACACACAACACACAACACAAAAACACACAAAAACACGTAAACACCCTTAGCCCGTTATTATAAGTGACTGTTGGCAAAATCGGCTCCGCCCGGGCCTGGCAATGATATTTTTGTAACCAGCATGCTCGATTACCCCCCTCCCTGTGCCAACTCCCAGCCCTGTAGCTCAAATTTTGCAAAAAATCGATAAAAATCGATATCGATCGATGCCTATAACACCCGCCCTGCCCCGAAGTGTACGTGTGCCAAGTTTGGTCCGGATCGGTTGAGAAATGGAATTTTCTATTCGGAACATACGTACAGACAACACACACAGTAGTAATTATTGATTCATAAAGCGACAGTCTGCCCCAATTCTAACCAGGCCAAAATGGCATGGCGGGAGTCCTCGCCGCGAGGGTTTCGCGCCACATCTGCGGCTAGCTAGTCTGCTCTCTCCTCGGTCTCTTCACACTCTGCGACAGCGCGCGTATGCAGCGCAATCCCCTAGCGCTGCGAGCGCGCAAATTTAGCCGACGGTTCGGCCTGATCCCAATTGGGGCAGACTGTATCGATTGCGGTCCCTTGTCTCGAAATGGACGACCTTCTTTAAGCTCACACGAAAACCATACATTTCTAAATCTCAACATGCGATGGGCATGGCATCATCTGGAATCTTCCATGTCATCAAGAGAAGAACTCCGAACGAATCTGAATGTTTAGCAAGATGAATGAAGATTGATACGAAAAGGGAGCGTTTGAATACCTAAGCAAAAGGCTAGGTTTTGCGGTCGGTCACCATTTCAGCCGCATACGGGAGCACGCGCGCAGCCTCATTTCGCGGGTTTCTGCTACCAATGGTGAGTTGGATGGGTTTGATACAGCCTATACTTGGAAGTTTGGCAGCACTTCTTGATTTACTGTTTGAAAGCTAGTCTGATTTCTGGCACAGACTGACTGAGAATGTCACTTTGTTATGGTGTAAAAAGGTGTCTTCTTTCACTTTTGAACCACCGGACACGGACGGGATCCCGAGTAGGCAGATTTGAGTTGATTCGAAACTTTCATCATCTACTATACTCACCGTAATTAAACTGGTGCCAAGTAGGAAATGAACGAATATGAAATCCATTTAGCGTCGCAAATATTCCCTCTCCTCTGGTCGAACGTTTAAGCAGATGTGATTTTAAAGGCACCGTCCACCCAGATTTTCGACTTCCACGTTTTTGTCGTTTCAGGGCCTTCTCGTGTCCCTGATTCCGAATATGAAGTCGAGAATGCTCGAAAACCCCGACAAACCCCGTTCCGGAGAACCCACAGGCCGGCTTTTCAGAACGGTGATTGGATGGGCGCGCACAAATAGGCGGGCATGGATGGGGGTCCTCGTGCATCTTCGCTATTCCGAAGCGATTTTCTCGCTTCCGAGGCTGCGTTTTGCGCCGCGACTTGGGCATTAGATTGATAGAGGGCCCTACTATCACATGCTGCCAAAAGCCAAACCCTCAACTTGGGGTGGACGGTGCCTTTAAAGGCAGTGTTCGGGCAAAAACTCGATTTTGAGATTTTGTGCTTACTTGGGCCTATTCGCTACGCTGAATCCGAAAATGCACATTGTAAAGCGCGACAATGGCGAAAAAGAACGGCTCTAACACAGGAGGGAAATGAGCAGGTGGGCGGGGTCTTCCCCACTGCGAAATCACGTTCCCCGCTTCTGGAGCGACCTTCTCGCTTCCGGTTTCAAGTCAATCATTCGCACTTGGCCGGTAACAATGTTAGGACGGCTAGCGGAATCGAGAAAATCGCTCCGGGAGTTGGGAGTGTGAAATCGCACTGTGGAAAGCCCCGCCCACCTGCTCATTTCCCTCCTGTATTAGAGCCCTTTTTCGCCGTTTTCGCGTTTTCGAATGTGAATTTTCGGATTCAGTATGGCGAATAGGCCCGTATAAGCACAAAGTCTCAAAATCGAGTTTTTGCCCGGACACTGCCTTTAAACCCCCCCCCCCCCCTCCCCACCCTCATCGTAACCTGCCGCATCTCCACCAGATGGCATCACATGCAATCGAAACATGATATTCATTATCAGGGTGGAAAATAATCCTCCCCCCAGACGTTATAGCAAAATCCACGATCCTTTTTTGGGTTTATTATGTAGTGTGGAGTAGCGCCAGCTAGCGTCCGGGCAAATCTGACATTCTCCGCTACTATCATAATCAAGTACTAGGGTGTCGATCTAGAACTTCCCGCAAACCCGACTTGCAAATACCCCCTCAACAAGAAGAAGTTCGCGAGCAAATCACCAGAGTCTCGAGCGCTCCTCCCTCGCAAAGCCAATCTCCTCGAACGAAATCTCTCTACATCTGAGACGTTTTTCTATGGTAAGCACAACTGAAAGCATACTGCTTGATTTTGCACTTCTTTTACAAGAATAGCGCAAAGGGGACTCGCCCACAGCTTTCGTAAAATAGTCCAAAAAAGGGGTTTTTGAGGGATTCACGCCTTTCTAATGCCGAAATCAGAATCAGCACCATGCTGTTAAAAATTGAAAATCAGGCGCATCATCGGCTTCCAGATTCGTGTGGAGGTGGAGTCATGCCAACTCACCACGTAGCGGTTTTTGCTAGCGAGAGAAAAGCAATGCTATGACGTGGAAGTGCAACTAGTTTACCTGTTATGTTATGTTATCAGGCAAGGTCTGCAATACACCTCCACACGAATTTGAAAACCGATCATTCACAAAGCGTGCTCGTGTCTCTTGGTCATAGAATAGATGATTTTGCGTGATTTGTCTCAATATTTCGCGCACGCGGCAAATCTCTTCTCCCTCCTCCCCCCTTCTCCTCTCCCAACCCGAATGGACAAAACCCGTCACAGTTTTTTCGCGCACGACGGCACTAAAACTGGAGTAAGTGGCGAGGAAGTTGCTGGTAACTTTTATTTTTGAACCAACTAAAAATAGTCATACATATGGCGAACTAGCTTGCTTACCCGGCTTCGCTTGGCCATGTCAAAACACTGTAATAAAGTTCCCATCCCTACCCCTGCAAAGCCTTTCCCTGTGTCCACTTCTACACTTCATTTCCCGTTCCCTGTGTTGTTTTCGAAATCAGCATGCCCACTTACGCCCCCGTGCCAACTCCCATTCCCGTAGCTCAAACTCTGCAAAAAATCGATAAAATCGATAAAACTAAAGGATAATTTCGAAAACTAATACTGTATTCGTGATCAGCATGCTCGATTACCCCCCTGTGCCAACTCCCAGCCCCGTAGCTCAAACTTTGCAAAAAATCGATAAAATCGATAAGATTAATGGATAATTTCGAAAACTAATATTGTATTCGTAATCAGTATGCTCGGTTACCCCCTGTGCCAACTCCCAGCCCCGTAGCTCAAGCTATGCAAAAAACCGATGGAAATTGAAATCGATATCGATCGATGACGAAAAGTAGCCTATGACACGCTCCCCGCCTTGAAGTATATGTATGCCAAGTTTGGTCCAGATCGGTTCAGAAATAAAAATTTCTATTCCGCACATACGTACACAGACATACAGACATCCAACTTTATATATAAGATTCGAAGTGCGCAGAACTTTGTCATTCACGAGGAATTCGAAAGGCTTGCACCATCTGGATGAGTTGTGATAGCAGCTTTTTGCGCTTCTGCATCCTTTTACTTTCATATGTTTTCAGTATGTGGAACAAAAGCGTTGTCTTCACTATCCTTATTCTGCCGATCCTTTCAAATGCTCAAACATGGAAGACGGGAGACAACTCAACAGCAGAGGGTTGCAGGTCTGTGGCGTTGACCGACATTTGACAACATGAGTTTAGCCATGAATTTATCACCTGAGATTCTGTTCGCGTACACCTTCCATGGTATTGCAGAGAAGAGCGAGAAATAGTCAAAAGTTGCTAGATAGGCAGTCTTTATGTTTAAAGAAATATAATATAGTTTGATTGCCGACCGGGGTCAAGCGTGGGGTGTGGCTTGCCACACCTGCGAGTCGTTATCGATGTGATTGATTCTAATATTAGCGATAACGTGGTATTCGTTAGTAATGTTATGTAGGCCCATCATGCAAAGTACTAGCATAACGATGTTTTGACCCACCATTGCATTCGTAAAGTAATCATAAAAGAGCCCTAAAAGCATGAGAGCATCATTTTCGTAGTTAACATCTTAAACGACCCCTGTAGGCCAAGTTTCAGCGAACTCTGAGGTTTCCTAATATGGGGCCACCCAAGTGAGATGATCATTTCTAAAACGTTACTGTTTCAAAAGTGAGTTAATTACTTCTTTTGCACTTGATACAAAGAGCTACAACTTCTCTGCTCAAATTAGGAATTCCAGTTCAATTAACCTACAAACTAAAGAATGCAGAGCAAGCCAAAATTTGTTTGTTCCATTTTTCGCTTTCAATACCCTACACTAAAGAAGATCAATCAGGTTTAAGTAATTCGAATCACGAGGCTTAGGCTACCAAACATATTCGTTATTGTCGCCTTTCACGACTCACGTAGTAGCGCAGAATTAGCATATTACCGTAGCCCAATATTTTGCAGTATCTTCCATTTACATGGTAAGGAAAAACGACTACATCCTGCCCTAGAAAAAGCGGTTTTGGATTCTACTTTGTGGAGAAAGATAAGCACATACAATACCCCTTGATTATGATAGTAGCAGATGTCAGATTAGCCCGGACGCTAGCCGGCGCTACTCCACACTACATAATAAACCTAAAAAAAGGATCGTGGATTTTGCTATAACGTCTGGGGGAGGATTATTTTCCACCCTGATAACGAATATCATGTTTGGATTGCATAGTGATGCCATATGGTGGAGATGCGGCAGGGTTACGGTGAGGGTGGGGGGGGGTTTAAAGGCAGTGTCCGGGCAAAAACTCGATTTTGAGACTTTGTGCTTATACGGGCCTATTCGCCATACTGAATCCGAAAATTCACATTCGAAAACGCGAAAGCGGCGAAAAAGGGCTCTAATACAGGAGGGAAATGAGCAGGTGGGCGGGGCTTTCCCCAGTGCGATTTCACACTCCCAACTCCCGGAGCGATTTTCTCGATTCCGCTAGCCGTCCTAACATTGTTACCGGCCAAGTGCGAATGATTGACTTGAAACCGGAGGCGAGAAGGTCGCTCCAGAAGCGGGGAACGTGATTTCGCAGTGGGGAAGACCCCGCCCACCTGCTCATTTCCCTCCTGTGTTAGAGCCGTTTTTTTTCGCCATTGTCGCGCTTTACAATGTGCATTTTCGGATTCAGCGTAGCGAATAGGCCCAAGTAAGCACAAAATCTCAAAATCGAGTTTTTGCCCGAACACTGCCTTTAAAGGCACCGTCCACCCCAAGTTGAGGGTTTGGCTTTTGGCAGCATGTGATAGTAGGGCCCTATATCAATCTAATGCCCAAGTCGCGGCGCAAAACGCCGCCTCGGAAGCGAGAAAATCGCTTCGGAATAGCGAAGATGCACGAGGACCCCCATCCATGCCCGCCTATTTGTGCGCGCCCATCCAATCACCATCCAATCTTCGTCATGCAGTAGATATTAGATGATGAAAGTTTCGAATCAGCTCAAAACTCTGCCTACTCGGGATCCCGTCCGTGTCCGGTCGTTCAAAAGTGAAAGAAGACATCTTTTTACACACATAACAAAGTGACATTCTCAGTCAGTCTGTGCCAGAAATCAGAGTTTAGCTTTCAAACAGTGAATCAAGAAGTGCTGCCAAACTTCCAAGTATAGGCTGTATCAAACCCATCCAACCCACCATCGGTAGCAGAAACCCGCGAAATGAGGCTGCGCGCGTGCTCCCGTATGCGGTTGAAATGGTGACCGACCGCAAAACCTAGCCTTTTGCTTATGTATTCAAACGCTCCCTTTTCGTATCAATTTTCATTCCTTTTGCTAAACATTCAGATTCGTTCGGAGTTCTTCTCTTGATGACATGGAAGATTCCAGATGATGGCATGCCCATCGCATGTTGAGATTTCGCGCAGAAATGTATGGTTTTCTGTGAGCTTAAAGAAGGTCATCCTCGAGACAATTGACCGCAATCGCTATGCGTTATGAATCAATAATTACTACCCTATTTTCCGGCTTATAAGCCGCACCTTATATAAGCCGCACCCGCCGCAGCGAACAGTAGCGCGAAAGCGCCTTCGAAAAGAGTTCAAAGTGAAAACTCGGTGCGTTTCGTGAGTCTTTAGTGCAAATGATCACGTCTTAATTTTTTCATTCCTTTCGATGCGTATCCTGATATTGGTATGCCGATGGGAGGAAGTCCCACACAGTCTCAAATCGAAAGCATCGATTATGCTGCAGAGAATGGAACCGGCCGGTTTCCTTAGAGTTCGTCGTCAACTGGATGACAAAGATGGCGATGCGAGCAGGAGAAGCTCATAAAATGCGACAGTACCAAAAACGTTCAGAAGACTCCCAGCAGATGGTCAGCATTAGGAGAGGAATTGAGAGGATGACTTGACGGGCAGCGAGAGAAATGAACAAGAGTTGAAACCGTAATGATGAATGGGAAGATAAAGATTTCTTACAAACAAGTTGCAGTTGAGAAGAAACCAAGAAAGAACGAAATCAGGAAGCTAGTAATGGGCTACTTGTTGAGACGGATAGTAGTTGGCTGCTTGTGCGGCTGTGCGCATCGCGAAAAGCACCGCACTTTAGCCCGCTCGCGATGAAAATAAATGCGGCTTATACGCCGGAAAATAGGGAACTTCTGTGCCGCATTCTCGCGGACATTCCGCGAGAATGTGCAAAATATTGGGGGTCGCGCGCAGAGGTGCGATAGGTGGAGCCCGGCCCCCCAAAAGTGAAGTGGTTCCAGTTACCACTGGCCGGCCAAAAGTGAAGGTGGTAGTGCCGGACACTCAGCTCCCTATGACGTCGACCGGGAGGGGGGGGGGGGAGGGGGGACTTCGGATAACCGAAGAACTCTCACCTAACGGCTCCCTTGAGGGCCAACAACTGTGACCTAACGCCCTCTTTAGGGCCACAAATACGATGAGTACAGCGGCATAAAAATAAAAAAAATAAACGTGTAAGTCTAAGGGTCTACTTGTAAGTAAAACCCAGCTAGACTTTACGTATTTTAGTAAGTGAATTTTGTTATAACGTACTGCGAATAAAGTAGGTTGATCCAGGCAGTAACCGCAGAGAACCAGAATTTCGAATGATAAAATAATGGAAAATCGTGAAAAATCATTCCACTGTTGCAAATCTGCTGGCTGAAGACCTCCGCAGTTGGGACTTCATAGGTTTTGAAGGGTAAATGTTGTTCTACCAGACAGTGAAAGAATTAATTTGATTTGAGGAATGGCCGCCGAGAACGAGAATTTTGAAAAACCCTTAAAAATCTTCTCAATTTTAGGTTGCTTAATGACAACTGACATTTAAACTCTTATAAATCCGCACTTTGAAAGTGTGTGTTGTTACGACTCCATAGGTTTTGTAGGGTGAGGTTTGCCCTATCAGAATATGTCTTAGCTATACCCATTAACTGAAACATCGCCGAGATACAGGCTCTTAAAAAAGCAGATAAAAAACCTTTTTTCAGCTCATAACTTCTTCAGAATTGCATAATTCATGTTGCGACTTCATAGGTTGGATTCTCCACATCAAGAGCTTTCACATGATATATAATATGTGGGGGATTCAATGTTTCTTGTGGATCTAACCCGGAGTGGAGTACTCTTCTTCACTAATTCTCCACCCCGCCCATTTCAACGTATTGGCGGGAGGCCGCCAGTGGAGAGTTAGTGAAGAGAGGTACTCCACCCCCGGGCATATGCCGTGGGAGGCGTGAACCCCCACATATTCTATATCATTTGAAAGCTCTTGAGGAGGAGAATCCCACCTAAGAAGTCGCAACATGAATTATGCAATTCTGAAGAAGTTATGAGCTGAAAAACGGTTTTTTACCTGCTTTTTTAAGAGCCTGTATCTCGGCGATTTTTCAGTGAATGGGTGCAGCTAAAACATATTCTGAGCGCAAACCTCACCCTACAAAACCTATGAAGTCGCAACATCACACACCTTCAAAATGCGGATTTATAAGAGTTTAGATGTCAGTTGCCATTGAGCAACCTAAAATTGAGAAGATTTTTAAGGTTTTTCAAAATTCTCGTTCTCGGCGGCCACTCCTCAAATCAAACTGATTCTTTCACTGTCTGGTAGAACAACACTTACCCTTCAAAACCTATGAAGTCACAACTGCGGAGGTCTTCAGCCAGCAGATTTGTAACAGTGGAATGATTTTTCACGATTTTTCATTATTTTATTATTCGAAATTCTGGTTCTCGGCGGTTACTGCCTGGATCGACCTACTACATAGATATATGCCCTTAATACTTTCTTTTACATTCCTTTTGCTAATTTTCCTTCTTTTGAGCTTTAGCAAAAAAATTTTCAAAACCAAAAGTGAAGGTGGTCACCCTGTACCAACTCAAAAGTGAAGGTAGGCGGAAAATCGGCTCCGACTTTCGCACCTCTGGTCGCGCGGTCCTTTGTGAAGGAAGAGCCCGTAGGTACTTTCCGTTGAGAGAAAGAACCCTAAACTCGGGTAATTAAACCACTCGTGACACCGCTCCCATGTAGAGTATTTTGCTCGGCGTATGCTTGAAACTGCTTAAAAAGAGTCAGAGCGCTTGCTGAAAATTTGGCCAGCGCTCGCTGAAAAAAATTATTTGACGACCTATTAAAAAAATTCCGTATTGCTGCCCGCTGGCAGAACATACGACAGCAAAGGAAGTACCGCTTGCTGAGACTGGCGTTACTGATGAGACTGAATGACTGCAGTATTGTCGTAAATCTGTCACGAACAGCCGTTTATGTTGTTGCCACTAGGAATATCAAACAAAATGACATCGTCTTTTAAGTTCGAACGGTCAATGCACCGTTCGCACTGCAGCTCTAGTCTGGTCAGAAACGAAAGGAAGGCAAAGAAACATTTTCTGTTGGTGCTGATTGCTATAAGTGGAAATGGTTGATCCACCGCGTCCTTTTTGGTGTGCGTAATCATTCATTCGAGCAATCTCTAGCGCCCTTCTTCGAGATACCTTCCGCTCTTCTTCTCCCTTGCATACGTTCGTTGCTGTTTTGGGCGATTACATTGACAGCTGTTTTAACAGCGATCGGACGTGCAGAGCGAGCATTGATCAAGATGTTCTTGGAAGTCTCTTTACGATATCATTCTACATTCGCAGTGACGTTGAACAGTTTGATTTGTACGTTTAAATAGGAGAGCCAAACATCTCTTGTTTGCTGCCGCGTAAACTTTATGTGCTGTGACTGTTTAAGCAGTCGAAAACACTCATTCGGATTGTGTTGGTGTTATGAAGGAACAGTCATCGATGTAATGACAGTACACAGGCATGTGGCAGCACTGGTTCTTCTATTCTGCTCACAAAGCAGACCGCCAGTACTGGAGCTAGTCTCTGTCCCATTGCAAGACCACTTAGCCGAGTGTAGTAAGTTCTTGACCATCTAGAATGTTACAAAAGAGACATTCATTAATTGGGAGCATAACGGATTTTTGCTCAGCCCAAAAGCCTGGATCTTATTACCGAAACTGCAACATTTTCGAAAATGCCTGCAAAGCATCGTAACTTTGAACATTAGTGTCAAGGATACGACATCAAAAGACTTTGCTGCGCATTGCGTTTGCAAAGTGGTGTTACGAAGGCGTTCCAAGAAATGATTCGTTTCAGTTAAATGAGACGGAATTTTGTCCAGAAGCTGATTAACAATCTTGTTCAAGAACCAGTAAATTCGGTCAGATGGTCCTCCTACAAAACTTATGATCGGTCATATTTTCAACTGTTCCGACGTCAAAATGCGCGCGTCATCATCAGTAGCGGCTAGTTTCTGGGTTTTAACTAGACTATAAACCGGACATTCCGGGGTTTCCAATCAGCTAAGAAAGCTCTCGGGAAGGCCATGCTCTTTCTACTTCCACCCAAACATGGTTTAGTCGTTTGTATTAAATTGAAACTTTTCTCAGTATCGTGGCGATAGATGGTCGTATCGCTAAGGTGGAGTTCTGTAATTTTCCGGTCCAAGATTCGTGGAAGAATCAAAAATTCTCTTCCTTTGTCGTTGCCAAGATACGTATGGCTTTACTAGAGACTAAATCACGTATTTTGTAGCCAAGCCTTTGCGAATGAGTCAATTTGATCGGTTGCGGGTACTTAGCTTGATGAGTATAAGCAGGGAGGGGGAGTTTTCATACAATCGGGGATTTCGCACCTACCACACCTACTCCGCACTTCTCGACCCACGTAGTGAGGCGATTCTCCACTAGGGCTGGGAGAGGGCAGGGTAACTTTTTATACGAAGATCCCCTGTTATCTTGACCTTTTGGCGACATTACCACCACTTGATTACAACGGACAGGAGAGTTTATATTACAACAAACATGAATATGTGTAAGGCATAAAATTGATACAATCATATTTTTTGACTTTCTTTGTGCAAAAATGCTAAACACTTTTATCTCTTCTTTCTTCCAGGTCATGCTCAAGGGTCGGAAAGACGTGTGATATCTCTCAAAATAGGGACTTCTGCAGGAAAAAAGTTTTGTCGACCCAAGAATTGCTGAGAAATTTCGTAAAGAGGATTCTTAGCATTCTCAGCGAAATTCTTATCAGAAACTAGCTGGCTTACCCGGCTCCGCCGTATGTTCCGAATAGAAAATTCCATTTCTTAACCGATCCGGACCAAACTTGGCACACATACACTTCGGGCCCCCGGCGGGTGTCACAGTCCACTTTTCGTTATCGATCGATGTCGATTTTATCAATTTTTTGCAAAATTTGAACTAGGGGGCTGGAATCTGGCAGAGGGGTGTAATCGAGCATGCTGATCACCCCCACGGGGGTGATCAGCATGCTCGATTACCCCCTTGTGCCAACTCCCAGCCCCATAGCTCAAATTTTGCAAAAAATCGATAAAATCGATATCGATCGATGACGAAAAGTAGCCTATGACACCCGCCGGGGCCCGAAGTGTATGTGTGCTAAGTTTGGTCCCGATCGGTTCAGAAGTGGAATTTTCTATTCGGAACATACGTACACACAGACAGACAGACAGACAAACAGACATTCAGCTTTATATATAAGATTCAGTTTCTGCTAAGCATTTCGCTTTCAGTTCAAGCTGGCTTTCTGTGTTGTAATGAAGCTAAAGCAAAGGCGACGGAGGCTAATTTCCTGAGTTATGAGAAGTATGAGATTTATATCAGAAGGAAAGTTTACAGCAAAAGAGTAATTTACGTAACATAGCCATACCATAGAAAGAGTTCATTTCAAAAAAAAACAACTGCAGATTACTCAAATGAAAATGTAAACGTGAAATGATTTTCACAGCGGAAAGCTTTAGTTCCGTACAGCCTTTGAATTCTCCCCTCCCTGATTCCGCGGTAACGCAAAAACAGTTTTAAGTAATTCATTTTGGAATGGAATCAGACGGCTTAAATCTGGTACAGTGCCAATGCTGGATCATCAAAAGGTTAGGATAATCTGGGAGCAATTGTATGAAATTTCCCTCCCCCCTCCCACAACTACAGTACACAAGACTTGGAGGTGCGAGCCTTTACACCTGACCGTACTCAGACAATCGCCGGGGGCAGGCGATCTAGAAACTCGCGTTTCTTGCATGTGGTCAGCAGAATTTGGGGCGTGGCCAAACCTTCAGCAAGCGGTACTTCCTTTGCTGTCGTATGTTCTGCCAGCGGGCAGCAATACGGAATTTTTTTAATAGGTCGTTAAATAATTTCTTTCAGCGAGCGCTGGCCAAATTTTGAGCAAGCGCTCTGACTCTTTTTAAGCAGTTTCAAGCATACGCCGAGCAAAATACTCTACATGGGAGCGGTGTCACGAGTGGTTTAATTACCCGAGTTTAGGGTACTTTCTCTCAACGGAAAGTACCTACGGGCTCTTCCTTCACAAAGGACCGCGCGACCCCCAATATTTTGCATATTCTCGCGGAATGTCCGCGAGAATGCAGCCACTGCGCAGCAACTAATCTTTGAAAATGCCGCAGTTGTTCTTGGAGCGCTTCTCTAAAAAATGGCCAACTTTTCTTCAAATTTCTGTAAACGGACCGCAAAAAATCAGCGAACTATTTTTCCGGTGCCCGCCTTGCCCATAAATCGCATAGCCGCCTGCCCCCGGCGATTATCTGAGTAGGCGTTCACGTCTTGCACCTCGAATTGCTCATCGTATGGAGCGTCACTCACCCCTCCCCTCACGTATACTCACTCCTCCCTCCCTCCCCCCCCCCCCGCCCTCACACGTATCTAGCACACCAGCAGATAGAATCTTGAACTTGACATCATTGATCTTGATCCTAACTGAATCATCTGAAATAACAGTAAAGCAAAAAAGTCGTCCTGACTTCTGATTATTATATTTCAATGTTGCATAGAGTATCATGTCTAAAGAAACGATTCACAGACGTGGGATGTAGATTCTGAATCAGTTTCTGAGGGCGTCTGACTTATATCTCATTTAAGACTTGGATCACTGAATATTTTTATTTTTAGATTTTGGTAGCTGATGTTCGGACTTACCGCCAAATCTATTACATTAGCGATTTTTTGAGATCTTGTTCCTACCTTTTGTGGTGGGACGTCTGGGCATGCTTAGGTAGTACTGCTTCAAAATATTCCACATTGAAATCGCCCCAATTCAGATATGTTGGGTGGACGCTGTCGTAAAAGAATGAGCAGAATACGGAAGCCTGTGTTTTTTACGATGTTTCTCACATGTACGCCTACTATAAGTTGGAAAGTATTGTTTTTGCTTACGAAGGAGCGCGTGACTCTGATAAGACGTATGGTATGAAACATTTCTATAGAGGCTAACTGCTGCACTTGTCTTTCGCAGTGTGTAGCTGCTACATTCGTGGGAGAAGATGGTTTTGTATTGCCATACAAGCATCCAGAAATTCACGGGGAGACTTTGCGTGCGGACGCTAGTTTTGCCGACATTTTGAAGATTGATTCAAGAAGGGCAACATTATGCTTGGAAATCTGCTCTATTCAGTGCTTATTGTTCGGTCGGTGATGGTGATGTGTTCTGCTGGAATTCTACCCTCAGCTTTTTCACTAAAGCTCTCATAGGTCAGCTAAGGCACTATATAGCTACACAGGTAAACGGTTCCAATGTACTCCAGAGGTTCGCAATTCACATAATTTTTAGGTTGATATCGATCAGTGGTACCGGCGGCACGGGAAGCCTTATGGCCAAGACATGAAACTGGTTTGCTATAATGACTAAAAACTTATAATAACGGCCAAAGAATGTTTACGCTTACGCGCGCGCGTATGTGTGTATGTGTGTGTGTATGTGTGTATGTGTTATGTGTGTGTATGTGTGTGTGTATGTGTGCATGTGTGTATGTGTGTGTATGTGTGTATGTGCGTATGTGTGTATGTGTGTGTATGTGTGTATGTATGTATGTGTGTATGTGTGTATGTGTTTATGTGTGTATGTGTGTGTATATGTGTGCATGTGTGTATAGGCTGTACCAACCAGCATCGGTTATGCGACGTCGCGCCTGCGGCGATTTGCGACGATGCGATCTGGCGCGCGCGAACTCTGCCACGCGTTATGGCACGCCGCATGCGACGATGCGTCGTCGCAAGGCCTGCTGGCGCGGGACCGATGCCGGCTGATAGAGCCTATATGTGTGTGTATGTGTGTATGTGTGTATGTGTGTATGTGTGTATGTGTGTGTATGTGTGTATGTGTGTATGTGTGTGTATGTGTGTATGTGTGTATGTATGTGTGTATGTGTGTATGTGTGTATGTGTATATGTGTATGTGTGTATGTGTGTATGTGTATATGTGTGTATGTGTGTATGTGTGTGTATGTGTGTATATGTGTGTATGTGTGTATAGTTCATTTATAAAATCGTGACGACGGCTTTTACTGCGGACTTTGCGCCCACAGGAGCATAAAACGCTCATACAAAAAGGCATCACCCCAACGCTCAGCTCAGTCACTTCCAGTGTCTGAACGTTATCATACGTAAGCAAAAAAACCCATTCGATTAGAGACGAAAACCAAGATGCGAATTCCGGAAGTGGCGTGCGTGTCGCGCGCGTTCGCGCCATCGTCACGATTTTTCAAATGCACTATATGTGTGTATGTGTGTATGTGTGTATGTGTGTAAGTGTGATGTGTGTATGTGTGTATGTGTGCATGTGTATATGTGTGTATGTGTGTATGTGTGTACCGTCTGCGCCCCAGAGAGGTTCCCATGTGAACCAGCGTGCGTACGTGGTGCGACGCTGACTTTCGCTCTTTTTGACATGTTTCTCCTGAGATTTCAACGGAAGTGCCCGAGGTTAACACGTTCAAAAGTGCGAAAGGCAGCGAGATGACGTGGTACCTATGGGAACCTCTCTGGGGCGCAGAGATATGTGTGTATGTGTGTATGTGTGTATGTGTGTGTGTGTAAAAATTCATTCCGGTGAAACACGGTTTTGAGTCACAATCCTTTGCATAACGCACCCTGCCAACACCTAAATCTAGCCTGAAAGCAGATCCGATACATGGACACTCGAATTTTTGCGCGCCAAAAGAGTCTATTTGGCCTTTGGCTTGCGAACTGGGTCCCTATCATAACTTTTTGCAGAGCAAGCGGACTGCTTGCCATGTGTCTTTGCAAGCCAAGCGCTTCAGAATTTTATCAAAAAGTGTTTATATACAAGAACAGCGCCAATAAGAGGGAATCGTCGATCTTGCAAGTTTCCGCAACAAATTGAGAAGATTTTTTGCTCGAAAATGTAGTTCGCAGCAGTTTATCCTTTGGGGATTACTGAACTGTTAGCAAATCAGGCAGATTCTGCTTCCTAATAGTAATGTTTTTGCAGTGATTTGCAACGATCGCATAGGTATTCCCCATAGTTTCCAACTCCTTTCACCTTGTCCTGTTTCAGCTAATTCTAGAACTTTGATCCTAGACTTCTAATGAGGCTTCTGGGAGCAGACAGAACAAACCAACTTTTACAATCTATTTGTTAGAGTAATCAAACTTCATATTTGCTTACCCAAACCTCATAGATCATTGACAAATAAGAGATTCAAATTTTTGCAATCTTAAAAGTGCATACAGCCATAACCAAAACTCAAAAGTCTACACGTGCTAAAGCCAACCGTACAGATACTTTCTGTTGGGTTGTTTCAAAAGTTCTACCCTTTCTTTATACCTCTCCTGCACCGTTAATTCTGCAAAAAATACTTTCCTATGAACACTGCTTGTACTACAAGCTCTTCTCTTCAGTTTTCGGTGAGTACTTTTGTTTTCATAGAGCTTCGTTCATTTTGTGGTGCAATCTTTATTAGGCAGCAAAACGAAATAGAAGTTTCCTTTTTGCTTTTGAGTCGTGAAGTTAACAGGCAAGAGAAGAAACCTTTTTCAAAACATACGTAATGTATGCTGGAGATTTGTGCTGCCAAATGCTTATCGAGATGAAATTCGAAAAAATTTTGATTCTATAACTTCCTGGCATGCACATGACTTGCCGCTGTAGTCCTTATAAGTGTATAAAAATCGTAAGCGCAGTGCAATCACGGGACTTTCAATCTATAGTGAGATTAGGCTTAAACATGGGAGGCGTGCAAGTAGTACTCTGGGAAGCTGACGCTGCCACAGCCAGCGGGCGCAACTTTCGGCAAAGCTGCTGCAAGTGGTACAGTAATTCGTCGCTCGTCGTTGAATCGCCTAAAACTATTGCTGAGAGGTTTCACGGACCTGAGGTGCCATATCAGCCTCAGGGATAACATGATATCCTCCTTATCTATATTCTATTTGAATAGCAAAAAAATTATATTTTATTAAGAATCATGCAGTCGAATACAACTGCAAATAATATACAATCGGACTTCCAAAAATCTGCAGACAGTCACGAAAATGAATGAATTGGAAATGGCATAGCTTTTATCCGTAGCTTTGAAAGTTTTCTATTTTTCAATGAAAAAGTTTTAGAAGTCAAACTCGCTTTTCCATGAGCACTACAGAACTTGAAATGAGGATTCGCTTTTATATTCATTGAGGGTGATTCTTTTCAAATTTGGATAATTTTTTTAACATTTCTGCAATTTCTTTCAGAAGATAGATGTACAAACATACAAGATACCCGAAATCTTTATAAAGTCGTCCTCCCCTCACTAGCACCTAGTTGACGAATTCGAATATGAACTAGAGCACACCGGCTGCGGCAGAGCGCGGCACCATTAAATGCATTTCAAGCTAATGCGGTTATCTTTTGTGTTTTATTGTTGTTGCATTGTGATTTTTTTTGTTTTAATGATGACTAGCTGGCTTGCCCGGCTCCGCCGGGCCTGCCAGCTAGACCCGTGTACGTATGTTCCGAATAGAAATTTTTATCTCTGAACCGATTGGGACCGAACTTTGCACACATATACTTCAGGGCAGGGAGCGTGTCATAGGCTACTTTTCGTTATCGATCGATATCGATTTTATTGATTTTTTGCAAAATTTGAGCTAGGGGGCTAGGATTTTGCACAGGGGGGTAATCGAGCATGCTGATCACCCCTTCGGGGTGATCAGCATGCTCGATTACCCCCCTCTGCCAAATCCCAGCCCTCTAGCTCGAATTTTGCAAAAAATCAATAAAATCGATATCGATCGATAACGAAAAGTAGCCTATGACACGCTCCCTGCCCTGAAGTATATGTGTGCCAAGTTTGGTCCCGATCGGTTCAGAAATAAAAATTTGTATTCGGAACATACGTACATACATACAGACAGACAGACATACAGACAGACATACAGACAGACAGACAAACAGACATTCAGCTTTATATATAAGATTGTAATCAGAATTGAAGAGTTTTTGTTGCTTACCAATGTTTCTTACCCTATGTTCGTTTCTTTACACTTTTTTAGGAAAGGCTGGAAAACAATGCATTTGGAGAATTTTTCACATGAAGTGTCTAACAGAGCAACACTTCAGAACTTACCAAGAAAATTTCACCAATTTTCAAGCTTAGTCGTTTTTCCAAGCTCAACTTGGAACCCTAGTCAAAGAAACGAGCATAGCAGCACGATCTATCGCTCAAATAACAGTAACAATTTCAATGCCTATTGGAAAAACTTACAGCATTCAAAAATCAGGTTGAAACGTCGCAAAAACACAAAAAAATTTGTTTGAGATTGAAGTGAGAGCTGCAGGTGCTGCGCTTTGCCGCCACCGGCGTGCTCTAGTTCGAATTCGAATTCCACTAGGTGTCTTGTGGGAGGTGGACGACTATAACACGATTAGCCTTGTCCTTGAGTCTATCTAGAGGTATGCAACTCTGACTTACTGACAGGAATCTTTATCGAACTGATTGAATTCTGAAAAGAAGTTGATTTTTGGTTGTCATTTTGGCTTACTCACGTGCCGCAACGGTATTGTAGCTTTGTTTTGTTTCTTGCATCCGTAGCATCTACATAACGCCATGTATCAGTGTACGTGTCATATTTTCATCTTTTACCTACTCAATTTGTCTGACCTACTTTGACTTAATTAGCGTGCTTAACATATTAAACCATAAAACACAAATTTTCACGATTTTTGCCTACTGATATATCCATAACATCTCCTGCAATTGTTCTCGTCCTTTCTTTAAAGTTGAATACCGGAAAAAAAGATTTTTAGAAACTAGACATAAAGTACCAAAAAGAAAAGCAAAGTGTTAACTATTAGGTCGGTGCAAAAGTTTTGTCAGTTTTCGATCCATCGGCAAACACGTTAGAATGAAGATAAACAAACACTTCAAAATGTATCCGATGCAGAGTTTCATCGTCTTTCCAGCTGCTAAACTCTCGTTGTGTTTCGTTGCGAGAGTGACGAGATACTTGCTGGAAATTACAACCACTCGTTTTTACCATGTCCAAATTCGCTAATTTCCAAAATTTTTCCACATGAGAAATTCGGAGGAGCCCTAATCAACAGATAGGGCAAACCTTTCGCCAACAGATTTTGAAGCGATCCAATTTTACATTCAGTCTATTTTGACTTCGTAAAACATAGAATGTTAAACACTTCAGTTACCATTCGATATAACTTTTTCTCCTCCTTCTAGTACTTGTCTTTTTTGCCGGGAAAGGCGAAATTTGTGGGGAAAAATCGCAGTATTTCTCAATTTCAGGAGTGCGCAATGAGGTAACCTATGTCTCAAAATCATCATGATTTGAAGCGAAAATCGCTTATTTACTGTGTAATGGTAGCGGTAGTAATAATCG